CGTTTAGCAAAAAATCATATTTGCGTATAATTCAGAACATTATTTTGAACATTTTCTGTACAAAATTACTTATCAAAATATTTCCCCCTTGCGAGATATAAAGCGTGAAAGTGTGAGCATTTTGGCCCCTTATGGCCCCTACTTATGCAACATACGACATAACAATCAAAATGCATATTTGTAAATTGTTGAGATAAACATTTTTGTTTCAGTAATGTATAACACATTATTGACTTATGAGAATTATTGAATAAAGACTTCTGGCCCCTCTGGGCCCCTAATTTGAGTGCCCGGCCCCCTTTTCTCGATATCTCAGTTAAGCTCTCACGATTTTTAAAACATTTTATTCAACAACTATTCAGAGATTCTTTTCTGTTTCAGAGATATTTGCAAAAGAAATTTTAGGGGACAACCCTTTAACTCCTTTATGGGGACCTTAAATTAGCGAAAAATAAAAGGTTGCAAATTATTTAGAACATTATTTGGAACATCTTTTGTTCAATATTAATTATCAAAATATTTCCCACTTTTGAGATATAAAGCGTCAAAAATTTAGCATTCTGACCCCTTGTGGTCCCTAATTATGTACCATACGACATTAGAATCATAATACATATTTGTAGATTGTTGAAATTAACATTTTTGCTTCAGTAATGTATAACAAAGTATTGACTGTAAAAGAGTTATTGAATAATGACTTCTGGCCCCTTTTTGCCCTAAATGTGATGAGTCAGCACTGTTTTCTTGATATCATATTAAAGATTTTGTAGTTCTGCACAAATATTGTTCGGTATGTTTTAACAAAATAATTATACTTAAAAAGATATGCAACTTGTCTAAAAATTAGTTACGATCGTGTCCTAAATTTCGACCCTACATGGCAACACGTCCTCTACATGTATCATCCCCGAAAAATTCACTTTCTAGCTTAAGCCGTTTTTGAGTTCCATTACAGACTAGGAGGTCCTCTAAATTTCGATCAAAGGGCGATAATTTCCGACCGGAAGTGAATTTCAAAAAAAAGAGAAAAAAGATTGGGGTTTAGGTGAAGACACATCTTTCCTGAAAGTTTCAAGTTAATCGATCAAGCCATCTCCGAGAAATCTTCTGCACAAAAATTGTAAGAAAAAAAGGAAGAATAATAAAAGTGAAAAAAGAAACAATAGAACAACAGAAGGGTCTTCCGTTGGAGACGGATGGAAGACCCTTATATAGTGCAAAGAAAAAATATGCAAAGAAAAATACAAAACAGAAGGAAATAGTAATATTAAAAGATAAATAAATTTTGATCAAGCAATAACATTGAGTAAAGAAGAAAAAAATAAATAAAGTGCAAAGACAAATATCGAAGAAAAATACAACATATACAATGAACATGGAAATGCTGAGGCTTAAAGAATATAAGTAATATTAGGATTTATTTTATTTCATAACGAAATACTATCAAAATCTTTTTTAAGACTTAATGTACAGTTGGACTGCTTCAAAAATTAAACAGTTAATTTAAAAGTAATTGACTATCACCAAATTGCAAAGTATTTTAAATTTGATCAGGAGATATGAATTCTATTACATGTACACTCTAATTCTAATTCTATTACATGTACACTCTGAATACTTTCAGAAAGGATATAGAGGATATTCAATTATATTATATTATCTCGCGAAAATAAGGTATCGCGAAAATTTAGTGATCTACAGTAACTCGTCTTATCAAATGTCATTCAGAAGCATCTATATGTGACGTCATAGGATATAAATATAGAATATAATGGCAATGATCATGTTTTGCTATGGGAAACCTAAAATACGTGTCAAATAAAATAGTAAAATAAGAGGTGTACAATGGCAATATGTAATAAAGATTCTATGAAAGTTTCATTAAATTTCACTCAGTAGTATAAGAGGAGTTGCGGATAACAGATAATGCCTGACAGACGGACGGACGGAAAACCCGATTACTATATACACTCCCAATTTTCAAGCGGGGGGTAAAGAAAAGGAGTGTTTTTGGCAAAAAGAAGAGGCATTTAAAACAGCAAAATCTAATCTGCATGATTTTGTTTTCTGTTGGTTAACAGAGAAATTACAGATATTTTCAATCACTTTAGTAATGTTCCTTTTGAAAACAAAAAAACAAACAAAAAAGGAATTTGAACTTTATATACAGTTGAGTATTTTTGTAAATTTTTTCACACTGAACTGTCTGAATTTTTTTTTCAATTTCCAAATTCTTTTAAAGAGCACAAAGTGGGTGAGACTAATCGACAGGGAATGCTTACTTCTCTATAGCAAATGGAGACATTTCCGTACTGCTTTTCTCATAATTTTTTTTGTTTAAAAATTTAAGTGTATTTTGTTCGATATCTTCATTTTTCATAAGAAAAAAGTCCGTCGGAGTTCAAGTCCACAAGTAAAATGCATCAAATATTCATCAATCACTCAAGGACCGTTCACTCATAGTAGGACGTTCATTTCTTGATCGGGCTACATTTTAGCTATAAGCTAAAGGCGCAATAATAGGTAATACCAATACCTTTACCAAGGACGAGGAGCAAATAAAGGTACAATTTAAAGTCACGTCTTTTGAATGAAAACTCAAATCATCCGAGGCAGTCTGTCACGGTACAGCTTTACAGGAAAATTACACACCTTCTATGCTCAACGGTCATGATTACCAAGCACAGAATTAAATTTGTAGCTCTTTATTAATTGGTAGATGGTGACATTTCTATATTTCAAATATACTGTTGTAGGCTAGAGCTTTAAACTAACATAAAACAGTACAAGTAAAAGGTTCTGCTACTTATACAATGCATTCCATAAAAATGAATTTATACATGAAAGAAAAAAAGCTCTTGATCAATTTGTTACAGAGGCGGACAGAACTGTTATTTAGAAAAAAAAACATGGAAAAATGCAAAAGATAACTTTTATAGATTACTCTTAATTCTTTAAGATGATTCTAGTTTATGATTGTGTAATGCATTTGTTGTTTTCTTATAATTTCTTCGTGAAAAAGGAAATCACTGAGATTACTTCTTGGTTTCGAAATTCCACACTATATCGAATTTATAGTAATTGATTATTTAGATATGCACATACATGTCTTATTATCAATATTTGTAGCAATGAAGTTAAGGAAACGCATATTTGTTTATGTTAAAGGTTGAGTTGATCATATATTGACATATCTTGGATCGTTTCTGAGATCGACAGGTATTCATTTTTCTGCTTTGCACCACACTTATCATCAACTTCTGAAATTTCATCGTATGTCTTACTCTCGACACCCCTATTTATTTCATTTTCGTAAACATATCCAGTGTTCTTTGAAGTGTTCTTTTCTCTTAATATTTTTGGTGACAAGTCCTGATGATTATCCTCTCTTCTAAATACAACCGTCTTGTTGTTGTCTACAGAATAACAATAAAAGAATAATTCGTAGAATTAACAAGGTTAAGCAGTAAACATGGCTTCAAGAAATGAAGCGATTGCAGAAGAAACTGATTGACAGGCATATGAGCGTAACTAAACGGATAGAATGAATTTCGTTCAGATTACATGTAGTGGAGAATATCAGTAATAATTAAAGAAACTGTTCATAATCACTGAAGGATTTTATTAGTGGAGAATATTATCAGTAATGATTGAATAAAATGTTCATAATCACTGAGGGATTTTATACTGTAGAGAGTCACCTTCATTGCACAGTGGTAGAAAGTCTTCTCTAGATTCAAGAAGTAAGGAGTGAATCCTAACGTCGCGGGTTCGAACCCCCCTGTGGGATATGGAGACCGGTCCTTTGGATGAGATTGTATACATGCAAATCTAGGGCCTATATCGCAGTAAATTTTTGAATAAAAAAGATAAATTACTGCTCAATAGCCCCAAGTGCCAAGTATAGGACAAAATTTGCCTTTTTCCACTAGCAAGCTGTGGCCTCACCATGAGTGAAGAAATTCTCGATAGGGTTGTGAAACAACAAACAAACATACTGTTAGAATTATACACTGTACATTGTCCTTATTGATAAAATATTTAATTTATGGTTTTGTGTGATTAATGAACATAAACATCATATAATTTTGACTTTACCGTTTTCCTTTGAATATATTTTCTGGTTTTTGTAAGCAAGCCTTTTGCTCCTTTTAGTCCTAGAAAGAAGGGGAGATAAATACCAATTCGAATTAAAAACAAAATCAATGAAAATAACTGGAAATTGCTAGAAAGGTTATTGTGAATGGAATGTAATGGCATACAATTTACGAAATTTTAAATGTGAAACTGATTGGTATAAAATCTGACATAGTTTGTTGAAGCAGATATGTAAAGTTAGCTACTAGTTATAAGCGCTACAACTTAACTAACTGACTACAAGAAGTGGGTTAGAGTACATGAACATATGTAGTCATTAGCAATTTGCTACTTGCAAGTAACTACGGCAAATGGGTAGAGTAAGCTACTAGTTACATCTTCTGGCTACTACATGTACTTTTGGCCAATCTTAGAAGTAAGTTACTGGTGTACTGGTAGTTTTACTCACATGCTGAAGCCAGTTACAAATAGCTTTATTCAGTTACTAGTTGCTAACTTTGCCCACTCGTCCTATATAACAAGTCACTCCTAGCCAGTTACTAGAAATTAGTTAGTTTTAGATAACTAATTTCTAGTAACTGGCTAGGAGTGACTTTATTTATTTAGATACGATCTCGAACTACAATGTACTAGCCAGTGACTATTAGCAAAATTTCACTCGACATATCTTGAAAAAAAAATCTAACTCGAATTTAGCTACTTTGTACACAATTTTAAAAACTTGTAAGTTTAATGACATCCATTTCAGTTACTTTGAAAAACTATTTACACATGTACTTAGGCGGCATGTGACCAGGGAAATAACTATTTTAATTTTTTATTGCCGTAAAAAAACTCTGATAATCAAAGAGATAACCTTTGACCTAAACGATTATTTCCTCCTCTTCAAATAAGTGCAAGCATTACCTGATATTTATTACGATAGCGAAGACTAAACCAAAAACAATAATAACTACAGAAGATCCAACACCTGCTCCAAGACCGACTGAAGATAGATCCAATGCGTTATTGCTATCTAGATCTGAAATATACATAGTAGGCATTCAATGTTTTGTTACTAGATATGAAATTAAGTACAAATGTATACAAATGAGACAGTTCAAGTGGAACAATTATGTAACATAGTTATTTACAAATATTTTGATTTTTTGTGATTAATTATAATTTGCAATCATTGAAAAACTATTTTTACCTGTACATGTATCCCCTTTCCATCCATTTGCGCAACTACAGTTTCCATTAATCCGTCCACAGCTCTTAGAAAGACATCCTGATCCACAATTGTCCTGACAATTTGTGCCAAACTTTCCTTCTACACAGCCATTATCACAATACCCTGTAATTCTGCTGCATCCGTTATAACAACCGGGTTTACAATGTTTATTACAAGCCTCCTTGAAGAATCCCGTTTCACACCCATTGGTGCATGCTCCTGTGACATTATTGCATAATTTTCCTTTGCAGTTGATGCTACACTTCTCAGAACAATTACGGCCAAAGTGTGAATCAATGCATTCTGTAGTTTCTTGAAATTAATGTATGTTTTTTTTTCATTTGTAATACTTAGGTAAGTTGATATTACACTTCTATAATTTAAAGGGGCATATCAAATGAATATGAAACAATAATGATCAGAAACTGTGGCAATAATAAATTGAAATTGAAAAAGGGGTTCCACGAATATCATTACTATCTTGCAGATTTTAAAACAATATCGCTTCAATGTGTTCTCATAAAACAAAGTGAACATCCTACTACAGTACGATTGTACTAAATATTCAAAAAATATATGAGTTAGTATATTAATAAGTCGGCTTTATTTATGTAATATCTGCATACACTTACTGTTACAAAAGTCTCCTGTCCAGTTTGATTTACATCCATAATAACATTCTCCAGTATTGAAATCGCAAGTATTAATTTTACAAAATGGACTGCACGTCTGATTACAAAATGGACCATAGAAGCCATTTTTACATGCAGTACACTCACCAGAAACTCGATTACAGCTCTGAGAATTACACATAGAACTACACTGATGCTCACATGTGTGTCCATAATAAAGTTTTTTGCATCCATTTGTACAATATCCAGATAATGGATAGCATGAATTATCTCGACAATTATCACTACATGCGACAGCTTTAAAAAGTAAATTTTATATATTAAAGCTTTATCATAATATTTGGTATGTAGTGTAAACAAATTTGAATTAAAGAATTCATACTTATTAAAGAAATGATTTTTATTTTATATACTTACGACATGATCCATTAATGATACTGCAGGTAGTACACTGACAATTTTCACAAAACTCTCCAAACCTTCCTACGCTGCAGCCTGCATATAATATATTTATTTAACAAAATGTTTCGTCTTATACAATTTGATAATTTCACACACGAACAGAAACCTCACTCCCCTCACACACAGACACCCTAACACCATCACAAACACATGAATCGCCGCTATATCATGCTATAGGATCATTCTTATCCAAAAGAAAATTGTGAATAAAAAAAATTATTGCAAAAGCTTAAAAGTTTTTGAGATAGTATCCGAAAATGAAAGTGTAAGACACAAAAATAACAAGCGAGATGAAATATAAAAGGAAGGAAAGACAAAAAAAAACAAGAGCCCCAAGGGCCACATCGCTCACCTGAGCAATGTACCCTCGCAAAAAAGCAGAAATCAGTTAATTATTGAAAAGTTTAAACCGAAAAGTGCAGGTCCCAACCAATCCTTAAAGGGGAGAGGGTATGATATGAAGAAACTTTAATCGACACAAACTAAGGATGCTTGCATTCTTCTTTAACTACCTGTGGCATTTATTGCCCTTTACATTTGAACCTTGACTGTGGCCCGCCCTACCGCCGGGGCTCATGACTTGAACAAATTTGAATGTACACTACCTGAAAATGCTTTCATATGAATATGACTAATCATGGCTTTGCCATTCTTGAAAAAGAAGATTTTTAAAGAATTTCTCTACATATTTTTAAGTAAAATTTGGATTCCATGTTGTAGCCCCGCCCTAACCCCAGAGGTCATGATTTGAACAAACATGAATCTACACTACCTAAGGATGCTTCCATATAAATATGATCATTCATGCATTTGCTATTCTTGATAAGAATATTAAAAAATTCCCTATATATTTCTCTGTAAAAATTTGATCAGCCATTGTGGCCCCGCCCTACCGCCAGGGGTTATGCCTTGAACAAACTTGAATCTATACTACCTGAGGATGCTTCCCTATAAGTTTCATTTCACCTGGCATAGTGGTTCTTGAGAAGATTTTTAAGACATACCACCAAATTTTCTGAACTATCTCCCCTTGAATAAGGGCGTGATCTTTTTTATGAATAGTCTTGAATCCCCTTTAAGCAAGGATACTTTGTGTTAAGTTGATTGAAATTGGCCCAGCGGTTCTTGAGAAAAAGTTGAAAATGTGAAAAATTAACGACGAACATCAGACAACGGACACATTTTGATCAGAAAAGCTCACTCGAGCCTTCGGTTCAGGTGAGCTAATAATAGTCAATACAAGAGGGTGACATTTACCATAGACTTCTATTTCACATACTTCTAATATAGCACCATGCACAGGATAATCTTCTGGAGCATCATAGGAAGTCCCTACAATGATGTATCTCGCTGTGTACCTACATGGAATGTCAATCACAGCCGGAGGTACATCCGGTTCTTCAGTCTCGTCTTTGTAACAACGTGTTTTTTGTGATGTTGAAGTTACATTTGCTGACGAGTTAGATACATCTAAGTAGAATTGACGAAAACGGTAAGGCAGCCAATTTGCTAAAATCATATAATATAAAGTGATTCATTAATATTTATCTTCAATATATCCAAAAGAGAATTCATCTTAAATGACGACACTTAAACAAAAATAAATATTTTATGCGGATACATATACTAGTAGTCTAGTACACAATAAGAGCCATACGTGTACATGAACAAAAAGTCAACATTCTCCCTTTTAAGATTAGTAACTCAAAAACAGTAAAGGATACATGGAAGAAAGTAGTATTTTATTTATTTTGGCACGTATAATAAATTCGAAAATATAATTCACACTTTGAAAAGTAAATTTAGATATACAGATTTTACAAAAGTTCTGTGATTTCATCATTATAACGGATATTTATGAAAATAAGAGCACACAAAAGGGAAAATACTACGTTTT